CCCACCGAGAGCAGCAATGACCACGCTTCAAATTAACCGAAATTACGAATTTTAAAAAATTTTCTAGAAATACAATTGACAAGCACTCTATTCAAAGATTATTAAAAACCCAAGCAATTAATGCTAAGAACTTAGGGTGATATATGCTAAAAGACACATCAAGAGTGGTTCAAATCCCCATTTTTGTTGAGTAGGGCACGGCGTCAAGTAATTTTAAGAATCAGGTCGCGTTATAAATACGTATAGGCAACGAGCTGCTCTCATTTTCTGCGTATAATTTACGCCGTTTATCTCGCATTGGATAAGAGGGAAAGACGGAAGAAAATATTATGATTTTCAATCCAATTTGTGTAAAACATTCAAAGAACCATTTTGCAACTTTTTTATTTTATTTTAGAAGCAAATAATTACTCATAAGGAGCATATTATTTGATATCTACGTTCGATTGAAAAAGAAATCATCCGACATTTTTTACTGCTTCATATTTAGGCAAAAATTCTCTTTAAATTAACGTGTCTGTGTGACCACAGATTGGGTGGCGTGAGTGGCTAGTTTAGAGGCGGCAGCCAACAAATGAAATCAGTGAACAAAATATCTCTGACGTACGAAGCCATAATGTCACCTAAGATCAATGTTAAAAATTTCAATGATTTATTTTAGAGTGTTAGAAATTAAAGCGCTCGTATGCTAACGTTCTACTTGAATGCTGTGTGGAAGTGAGTGCTAACATTTGGCACACGAATGGCTTGTGTCTTCAAACGTGCGAGTGTAAATAATGAGTTTATAGAGCGTTGGGGCAGGATTGAACTTAGTCTTATTCACGTTAAATTCAAGCAGAATATACGTTAGGTAGGTCAGAATCGGCCAGGATAGACCTGCAATATTTGACGCTGAGACCAAAATGCATGTTAAGGCCAAGGTAACGTATCCTCTAGAATCTAGATGACATAAGGTGGCCCAGGGCAGGGTGGCCCAGTGGTTACAGTTCAGAGTACCAAGATTGGAGCAGAGGCGCGGGTTCGATCCCAGCTCTGTGCGCCAGTTTCTGGTCAGAATCGTCGAGGAGGCCGGGCGGTTAAGCACAGCAGAATTGTAGCAGTTAGTTGCGCGTTCGAGACCGCAAAATGCTGCGAATGTTCTGCGATGTTAAGAATCGGCGACAGGCCTTCGGCCTAATAAACGCTGAAACCGCTATTATTATTATTATAAATGTCGCAAGCGCTCCTCATCTCCTGCCCGTCACCGACGTCCTGGAGGCAGAAGTCTCTGAATAATTTGACGTCAACTTTACAGCTGCTGACAACGAACATTTTTCAGGTCAATGATCTCAACCATCCCAGAATAAACGACATATGGCACAGTAATGAAATTCTAGGACCCATGACCCACCGGAAGCTGAATTGCGAAACAAATCGAGCTAAACTTGCTGTGAAAGAATAGGCAGGGAGGTCCAGTGTTTACAGTTTAGAGTAACATGATTAAAGCAGTAAGAAGTCGGTTCGATCTCGGCTAACTAAGACAATTGTTCACACTTCTGCCTAACCCTCACCCGACGCCGAATTCCTCGACTGATGGAATTTCCCTCGCTCTAAGCTTGCAACCTTCGGTCTCATGGACTTGAAAAAACTTAGTCTTACTCACACTACATCACTTCAACCCACGTTCCTAATCTTCTCCGCACTTGCACTCTAACTTTCAATAAAATTCATAACTTCAACTGATCGATTCGCCCTCAAACTACGTCCCTTACAAATGAGTTGCATATTAGAGGCATGGAACAAGTGGCGAAAATTCTGCGATATTCAGAAGCAGCGACGGGTATAATGGATAAATCAAAGCCGCCATTACTATTACTAAACTTGCCGATGAATAAAGTATTATAAATTTGTTATAAATTTAGGCAAATTAAGAGAATTTTGAAACTTAGCTTGATAACTATCGTAACTCAGGCGGAACAATGCAGCTCTATATACGAGTGTTTATCCGGCTATCATATGACTTTTCTCAAACTTTACCTCCGTCAATTCAAAATACTAACGGAGAATACAGCCCGGAAGAACATCACAAGATACTTCAATTATCGAGCAAACTCGGTGTTACTTAGGACACTTAAATTCCCAGGGTCATCAAGAACGACGTCCAAATTCCTCACGTTTGCGTGCTACATTCTTCTCTAACGTGAAGGTCATCACGTGCGCTGTGATCACCAAAATAGTTCATAATAAATGGAGCGAAATCTAACAGATCCTAAAGATCGAATACCTTGCCACTAAAAATTAATTGCGGTACACAATACAGCTATTGTTCGTCGAGCTTTCTGCCCAGGTCTGACAACATTAATATCTCATAGGGTTAGAAGACTGGACGCATTTTTGCCGTCTTCCTCGATAAATCATTGCGATGTCAAGTGTTCTAGTTTGGATGGGCACACTTGTCGGCAACGTCCTTCAATATAACTTTTAACAAATTTCCGAGATTTCAATCTGTGCATAACCATTTACTTGTCTGGTTCACATAAATGGATTATTCTTGCCTGTGAGTGGTGCGTTACAAGTCCCTTACTAAAAACCGATGCCAACCGCGTCTCATTCATCCCTGCATTATCAATATGCAGCCCCCCCCCTGTCGCCAAGACTTGACTGAATGGTTCTAAGAACTCTTTAGCATTTCATTGAAGATTTCGGCTCAAACTCTGTATTGATTCAGGCCTAAATGCGAAAATTTACTCTTTAGTGTAAACTAACACTGGGCAGGGTGGCCCAGTGGTTAAAGTTCAGGGCGCGGGTTCGATCCCAGCTCTGTGCTTCAGTTTCTGGTCAGAATCGGCAAGGAGACCGGGCGGTTAAGCACAGCAGAATTGTGGCAGTAAGATGAGAGTTCGAGACCGCAAAATGCTGTGAATATGCTGTGACGTTAAGAATCGGCGACAGGCCTACTGCCTAATAAACGCTAAAACCGTTATTATTATTATTATTTAAAAACTTGCAATTGATTGAGTTTGTTTGAATCCACCTTCTATTCAAACTCATACACACATTTCACATTTAGTTGAGCTCATGTCGGTCATTAGAGGCATGGAGAAGTTTGAACTGCTGATCTAATATGAAGAACTCGAAGATACATACTATTATTTGACGTGTAATCCTTGAAAATGGCAAATAACCAGGTTTGTAAGACTGTGTAAGCACAAACATTGTTCATGAATCATGATTGTTGTTAGAATGGGTCATTAGGTACTAGTACTCATTAGGCTAGTTGTTTTATTTACACAAAACTTCACGGTCTTCACCTGTATAATTTCATTTTCATATAATTTCATTTTCATATAATTTCATTTCATTTAATTCATTTAATCAATATTTCATTTAATTTTATGTTAGAAATAGCACAGCAGCAAGTCTTTTGAATTGAGGGACACAAAAGTGCCAGACACAACAGAAAAGGGTCCCAAATTACCATGGGCTGATGGGCATGATCCGCATGAACGCACGGCATGAGAATGTGGTAATTCGGGACATTTGAAATAAAACCTAATTTTAAAATGTTTTAAGCATGCAGGGTGCCACTATGCAGAGGGTGGATGCAGCGTCGGCAATATATGGATTTTTAAGCCCAAAGCGTCGCCGGCCATTTTAAAGACGCGTCGCCGGGTAATTTTTAATGAAAAGCCATTTACGCTGAGTAATGACTGTCTCTTATACACATCTAGATGTGTATAAGAGACAGNAAATGAAATGAAATTATATGAAAATGAAATTATATGAAAATGAAATTATACAGGTGAAGACCGTGAAGTTTTGTGTAAATAAAACAACTAGCCTAATGAGTACTAGTACCTAATGACCCATTCTAACAACAATCATGATTCATGAACAATGTTTGTGCTTACACAGTCTTACAAACCTGGTTATTTGCCATTTTCAAGGATTACACGTCAAATAATAGTATGTATCTTCGAGTTCTTCATATTAGATCAGCAGTTCAAACTTCAGTGTGGCAAAAATGTTCAGCGGCTATGAACATTTTTGGCAGAAGTGGTTCCGATAATTTCATCCATAAAAACCATCACACAATTTATTTGGTCTCACGAGCTTCTGACAATCAGGCGCATACTGCAGGTGCAGATAATTTTTTCAAATCTGTAATTGATTTTCAACATTTTCAATTCCCGAACTTTGCGTATTCGAAAATCTATTTTTGTCTAATGGATGCACAAATGTCGTAAAATCTTTTTTTTTTACTCATGCACAATATTCCTCAAACTAACCGAGAGATAAAAAATATGATAGGCCTACCTGACTGAGGGCTTTCATTTTATGGACAGAGAAAGATGGAGCTAATATCAGGCATGAGACTTCTCTAATCATGTTTGAACTATACTAGTTCAACCATGCCTCTAATGACCGACATGAGCTCAACTAAATGTGAAATGTGTGTATGAGTTTGAATAGAAGGTGGATTCAAACAAACTCAATCAATTGCAAGTTTACACTAGAGGGTAAATTTGCAATTGATTGAGTTTGTTTGAATCCACCTTCTATTCAAACTCATACACACATTTCACATTTAGGTGAGCTCATGTCGGTCATTAGAGGCATGGTTGAACTAGTATAGTTCAAACATGATTAGAGAAGTCTCATGCCTGATATTAGCTCCATCTTTCTCTGTCCATAAAATGAAAGCCCTCAGTCAGGTAGGCCTATCATATTTTTTATCTCTCGGTTAGTTTGAGGAATATTGTGCATGAGTAAAAAAAAAAGATTTTACGACATTTGTGCATCCATTAGACAAAAATAGATTTTTGAATACGCAAAGTTCGGGAATTGAAAATGTTGAAAATCAATTGCAGATTTGAAAAAATTATCTGCACCTGCAGTATGCGCCTGATTGTCAGAAGCTCGTGAGACCAAATAAATTGTGTGATGGTTTTTATGGATGAAATTATCGGAACCACTTCTGCCAAAAATGTTCATAGCCGCTGAACATTTTTGCCACACTGAAGTTTGAACTGCTAATCTAATATGAAGAACTCTAAGATACGTACTATTATTTGACGTTTAACCCTTGAAAATGGCAAATAACCAGGTTTGTAACTTGTAAGACTTTGTAAGCAATAAGCATAAACATTGTTGTTAGAATGGGACATGGGTCATTACTTATCCATTAGTTATTAAATATGAGTTTTAGCTATTATGGATACCATCATTATTATACATAAGAAATTGGTTTAAATCTTGAGAAAATTAGGAAATTAAAAATGAACTGATTATAAAAATTTCTGGTTTGTCACTACTCACTAGGTGCCTAGGAGGCTAGGGCCTATGGTGCCGTGAATTCCAAATCTCAGCCATTAAAAGCCATTTATGAGACAGCAACCGCAAACTTTTTAGCTACTAGGTATGTCTCATGCAGAATTTGATTAGTAAAAGTTTCCCTGCAGTGCATCTTGAAAATGGCTGCTGTCCTGCCGACACTTTGGAGTTTGGACTAACAATCCATATACTATTGGCAATGCTGCTTGCTCCCTCTGTACCCTATATCTTTGCAAGGGCTATTGTATGGTAACTTCAAAAAAAAAAAACCTAAATGCTATTTGTAAAGTGCCAGAAACAAGAGAAAAGGGTTCCAAATTACCATGAGAACATGGTAATTACTAATTCAGGACATTTGAAATAAAACCTACTTTTAAAATGTTTGAAGCAAGCAGGGTGTACCTACCTTATCAAAATATCACTTTTTAACATTTTTTGCAGGGATTTTTTTAGAGCTAGTAAATGTATAATGTCTTATTTTCTTTTCTTATATGTTATATACCGTAAAATGGGGTAACTTAGACCGGCGGGGTANTGCGTCCTTAATGTGTCGGAATATACCGCGTTTACCCTACCCATCCCTTATTATCCTGTTTAATGGTAGGTACCGGTACCTTCAAAGCTGCAACTACATAGAGCTCTCCCACCATTTTTGGAGCTGCAAGATTCCTTCTAGATGAATTATAAATATCTTATCTAATTGTTGTTAAAATGGTGGTAATTGTGGGATTCATCTGCAAGATAACAAAATAAACAAATGGATCAAGAATTGGTTGTTTTGGAGCCACAAGATTTAATTCATAAGAAGGAAAATTCTAATCTAGCTCCAGACTATAGCACATTAAAGTTGATGTTGATTAGTAATTTAGTATCTTGATTGGAATTGCAATTCCACATGGATTCAAGGTTGAAATGGCTTATTGAAAAGGTGCTTATGAAAATCTTGATCTAAGAGCAGGAGACCTGATTAGCAGTCTGGTCTAGAGTATGGGGGCAATCCAAGGGTTTGGCTTGCTTTTTTTTCTCTCTGTAATAGGAATGAGTTCTTTCTACATATTATAATATCAGCCATAATGATCATCATCATCAATTCTAACCACTCTGCAAAGCAACGGCACAACATGTTTCAGGAACTTGAGACTGTTAATGACTTGCTTCATTGATAGATAAGATGTCAATTCATCAAATTAAGATTGACCAAATAAAATAGACTTTCATCATAAATATTGATAAATTTTATGAACAAACTTCATAACCAATTATTTTAGGAATCTAAGAATGTATTTTTCAGTAAGAAACAACACATGAAAAGACCCTCTGCCTCAACATTATGTATCAGATTGCAAGTCCTGATAGCTTGAATCTTTTTCAGAGAAATCAGAATTTTGTTTCATTTCTTGTATATTTGCCTTCAAGTATTGGCCTAAAAGCTGAAGTCTGTTCTTGATAATTTTAATACCTGTATGTTGCAGCATCTTCATGCTTATTGAGAATGCTTACTAGCCAATTACAAGTTATTCCTAATGTTGAAGTGATGAAAATATTGCTTCTCTGCATAGACACTTTCTGCAGTTCCTGGAGACCAGTTCATTTGCCACTATTCTGCTAGGCCATGTAATAAAATATATATACCATTCAAGGTTCTACCCATCTCAATTTACACTGATATTTTTAATTCTTATTTGGTATATATAAGCCACCTCTATCTTGACTAGTTGAAATGTCAATTATTTTTTGAAAGCCTATAGCTTTTTTCTTCATTGCCAGAATCATGGAACACCAATGGAGGAATTGGGGGGCAATGGCAAGGTGGCCTCTCCGCCCCAAGGCTGCATGAAGGTTTTCATTCAGAGAGATTATTCTGAAGGAACTTCTGTGAAGTTCCAGACCAAATTCCCCCAGGAGCTTAATGGCAAGGTATTTTTTATTTGGGCTGTGGGCAGGGAAGTTTATAAACAAATTATAGCTTTGAATAGAAATAATTCTGATCTACTGGTTTTTCAAAGCTAGTCTTAGATGAATCTGGTTATGCAATTCTTCAAGAATCAATATCATTATTGAGCTTTGAGATGCTACCTCATGTGACAATAATTTTATCATTTTTCAGGGAATTTAAAAAAAAACTTTTTCATTTTTTAAGATGTAATTTCCTTCATTCTCCCTAGATAGAGCCAAGCATATTTGAGCAAATGCTGAACACCGTCAACAGCATGTATGCTGAAGCAGAACAAATGTCTTGCGGCCGTTACTGTGAGGGCTGCCTTGGCTGTCTCACAGCTTACCTTATTTTCTTTTGTCTTGAGACTCACTATGAACAGGTGAGTGAATATATAACTTATCACCCCACTTGCCATGAACCGGTCAGTGAGTACCGGTATATATAGCTTATTGCCCCACTTACCATGAACAGGTGAGTGAGTATATACCTAACTTATCACCCCACTTTCCATGAACAGGTAAGTCTTGTGAGAACACATACCTTGTCTTTCCCCTCACCCTATGTGGATTGTATCATGCCTGGCATGTTTTTATCCCAGCTGCAATATTATGCCTGACACATTATATCCCAGTTGCTACAATGCCATTATCCCCGCAGATGATGAAGAAAGTAACAAAGTACATCGCGGAGCAGAACGAGCGAGTCTGGGTGCCCAGGGGTCTCTTCATCACCAACCCCGTNCGTGTGTTGCGCTGTGACATTCCTACGAACTATAGCGGCGGCCGTTGGCTTAACATTGCAATTGAGGGCTCATGCAGACCGTGCTGTGTGCACTTGCTATGGATACTTTTATTATTATGATGATCGCTCTTTTGTGATGTTATTTTGTATAGAGTCTCATCTCTTTATTTCTGTACACGTTTGTTTTTGTGGCGTTACAGCTGTATTCTTGTGATGTTACAGCTGTATTTTTGTGACGTTACAGCTGTATTCTTGTGACGTTACAGCTGTATTTTTGTGACATTACAGCTGTATTCTTGTGAGGTTACAGCTGTATTTTTGTGACGTTACAGCTGTATTCTTGTGAGGTTACAGCTGTATTTTTGTGACGTTACAGCTGTATTCTTGTGACGTTACAACTGTCCAAGATGTCCAAGTTGTTACAAGTAGCATCTTGACATCATTTACTGTAATACTTTGACATCATTTATTGTAACATCTCGACATCATTTATTGTAACAATTTGACATAATTTATTGTAACATCTCGACATAATTTCTTGTAACATTTTGGCATCATTTATTGAGGATCACACTTAGTTATTTGTAGGAGTGGAGATTTTCAAATTTAGTTTGTGTTGTCAGTGAATATTGCATGCCGATGACGGCGAGCCAGTGCAGTGATAACACTGATAACTGCCGTGCTGTTGTCTGGCAACAAGGCTGCAGTGCTGTTGTCTGGCAACAAGGCTGCAGTGCTGTTGTCTGGCAACAAGGCTGCAGTGCTGTTGTCTGGCAACAAGGCTGCAGTGCTGTTGTCTGGCAACAAGGCTGCAGTGCTGTTGTCTGGCAACAAGGCTGCAGTGCTGTTGTCTGGCAACAAGGCTGCAGTGCTGTTGTCTGGCAACAAGGCTGCAGTGCTGTTGTCTGGCAACAAGGCTGCAGTGCTGTTGTCTGGCAACAAGGCTGCAGTGCTGTTGTCTGGCAACAAGGCTGCAGTGCTGTTGTCTGGCAACAAGGCTGCAGTGCTGTTGTCTGGCAACAAGGCTGCAGTGCTGTTGTCTGGCAACAAGGCTGCAGTGCTGTTGTCTGGCAACAAGGCTGCAGTGCTGTTGTCTGGCAACAAGGCTGCAGTGCTGTTGTCTGGCAACAAGGCTGCAGTGCTGTTGTCTGGCAACAAGGCTGCAGTGCTGTTGTCTGGCAACAAGGCTGCAGTGCTGTTGTCTGGCAACAAGGCTGCAGTGCTGTTGTCTGGCAACAAGGCTGCAGTGCTGTTGTCTGGCAACAAGGCTGCAGTGCTGTTGTCTGGCAACAAGGCTGCAGTGCTGTTGTCTGGCAACAAGGCTGCAGTGCTGTTGTCACCCTTTATAATACAAGTTTCGTTACTTGTTTTACATTTAGTTTTCATATTACAATTGTAATAAAAATTGTCATTGTAACGAGGCTCATGGCATGCTTCTCTGCAGTCCTCGTCTAATGTAAATTTGTAGTGTAAAAAGCTCGCGTAATTTTAGTTATTTTTGGTTCCAAACTTCTGTTGGCTCTTTTTAGTGAAAGCTTTGCTTGATTGATATAAAAAAAACATTTTATTCCTCGGTTTAAGTTTTCTACATCAATATTAATCCCTTGATGTTCACTCATTATGTTGGTGGTAATGAGTACAGGCTTGGTCATGCCTAGCAGCTACTAACTAGATATATTGCTAAGCAGGATTATGCAGGATAAATAAGATTGAGTACGCAGATAAATAAACAGGATTACCCAGGATAAATAAAATTGAGTATGCAGGACAAATAAGCAGGGTTACCCAGGATAAATAAGATTGAGTACGCAGGATTACCCAGAATAAATAAAATTGAGTACGCAGGATAAATAAGCAGGGTTACCCAGGATAAATAAAATTGAGTACGCAGGATAAATAAGCAGGAGCCTAGCGTGACAGCTGCTGCATGAGGCCTAGCGTGACAGCTGCTGCATGAGGCCTAGCGTGACAGCTGCTGCATCAGGTCTAGCGTGACAGCTGCTGCATCAGGTCTAGCGTGACAGCTGCTGCATCAGGTCTAGCGTGACAGCTGCTGCATTAGTTTACGAAGACAAAATTTAAGAAATTATTTACACGAGCCAAACTACGTACTCATATGATGGTTGATTATATTCGTCCGTAGACATGACATCGGAAGCACGAGTAATTAACCATGGTTTAAGTATATGATTGAACTATATAAGGTTAACTCACGAGAAGTTCCGTCTTTCAGTCTTTTAGTTCAGCTTTCTTGTTACGTCACGTAGATCGAGAAATGGAAACAAATCCGTCATTCCCATGAACGGATTGGTTGACTGGTTTGAACGCATTTCGGTGATTTTTTAATGCCCGTGACGTCATTGAGATCAGTGACGTCACAGGCGAACTACATCTGCAAAAATGAGCTTCTCGCGGGTCAACTTACACTAGTTCAGTCATGTTATTTCGCTACTTCCCCTTCACACTCTTCATTCCGACTGATCTATCTGGAGCTCCAGGTACGAAGCCGAATTAGGCTGGCTTCAGCTTGTCGATTGATAATTAAAAATATATATATAATCCTGAATTCAACCAGATTTTTTTGCGTACATCTCCGTTGCATTAGTATCGTCATTTGTCCGGAAAACAATTGTAATCACAAATCGACATCACTCCAATGTCACTTACCTAATTATTTCATAAAGCTAACCATCTCAACACGATTCAATAACTAGAACGCTAAAAGGACGCTTATTTCAAGTGTTTGTTCATTCTTTTAGCACTCGATTCCGCAATCAAGAGTTGAACGCAAAGACATAGCAGCGGAGGATCTTGAGCTGCCGTTCACAACACAGCTTTAATCGCTGGAACAAAGATGCTATAATGCAAACCTCGGCGCCTATCAGCGCACACCTTGGCGCCCCTCGACCCACACCTCGGCGCCCTTCGACCTACACATCAGCACTTCTTAGCACACACCTCGGCTCCCTTCAACCCAAACCTTGGCGCCCCCAGTACACACCTTGGTACCCCTCAACCAATATATCGGCTCCGCTCAATTCAAACCTCGGTGCCTATCCTCTGCAGCGTGTCACCGGTCCATCGCACAACCTCGCGCGTTTGTTGCCGTGCAGCGTCCGCACGAGGTCGTGGTCACAGGCGCTCCGTGCAGCGGCGGGACGATGGCGGGATATTTTTACAAATGCAACGAAGCTTGAATATTTTTGATGGTGGCAGCGTTAATGGAAAATCAGACGAGTTCATTGGTGAATTCATTCAGGTGTGCCTGAATGAAAAAATGAAATCATAAATACGTCGAGAATTCTAATGAACGGATTCTAGATTGATTTATAAATGTAATTAACGAACGTGAATGCGCATCTTGTACACGATTTATTTGGCGTCCAAGCTGAATTGTTCAAATCGATTGTGTTCTAGTGGCGATAAGTTTGATGCTATATCTACGAGAAATTCATTCCGCGAAATTGTACGGATATTTTCTTTGTAAGAGACAAGCTGGAAATCAGGCAAACGTAAGAAGAAATCGTCATGAAAAAAATTGATCTATTGTGATTAACCATTTACCGCCGAATGTCAATCTCCGGGAACATAATTTTCAAATTAAATTATACCTAAAGTATTGAGTGTAGCAACCTGAGGACGTTTGTACGCAACAGAGAACATTTTAAAGTTGTACGTGGCGGCAACTATCAGTGCAAATCCTTTTTCGCTCACTCAATCGAATTCTTTTTGAGATTTAGGCATGTAACAATATTGCTCCGGTTACTCATTTCAGGCGGCAGAAGGTTAACCTCGTGTATTCTTTTGAACAATATCAAGATTATGTTGCGACCGACCTCATTACTTGAGCCGCTAACTCAAACAAAGATTCGAAGGACGCCATGTTTGAACTGTCCACATTTGGATTTGGTTAAGGGCCATGTTAGAGTTGCTGGGCAGGATGTAGTTGTGGTGTCGTGTTGGAGTTGCTGGGCTGGATGTAGTTGTGGTGTCGTGTTGGAGTTGCTGGGCAGGATGTAGTTGTGGTGCGGTGTTGGAGTTGCTGGGCAGGATGTAGTTGTGGTGCAGTGTTGGAGTTGCTGGGCAGGATATAGTTGTGGTGTCGTGTTGGGGTTGCTGGGCAGGATGTAGTTGTGGTGCAGTGTTGGAGTTGCTGGGCAGGATATAGTTGTGGTGTCGTGTTGGAGTTGCTGGGCAGGATGTGGTTGTGGTGCAGTGTTGGAGTTGCTGGGTAGGATGTGGTTACAGCCATGTTGTGGTCACTGGGCAGTATTTTTTCACTGCGACAATAGCAGATTCTGCCCCCAGTGTAAACGCTGTTGTTTTAATTGTGTTATGGTTAATTTGCAACTAAACTTTGTGCTGCTTTATGGTCAATTGAACTATGCAACAAACTGTGACATGCATCACAACTCAATAATATAGGTTCCTAAGAGCGACCTGCATAACTGTCCATAAATGTGACCTGCATAAATTTCTGTCTATTTTCCTCGTAAACTAAATCATATTCCTATTATTCCCATATAATGAACGATGACCACCGGCCTTAATGTCCATCCTTCATGAATTTTGACCTCTTTCATTGAGTTGAACTTAAGGGGACCGGCTACCCCCCCAGAAAACTCCTACAGTTATCATCCGATCATCATGAAACTTCACATACATACGTAAAATGTAAAAAAAATAACATTTTGTTCGTATGAATTTTTCGAAAAATTGATAGAAAACGTGAAATTCATAGAAAACGGCTAAAAAGGGGTACTACAGAAAATCGATCTCCTCCTACAAATATCGTCCTACAACATCCAGACACATATCATTCGATTCGTAAAGACCATATCTATCGACGTGGCCATCGCTTTTTT